AAGGATATATATATATATATATATATATATATATATTATAAATATATATATATATATATAATATATATATATAATATATATCTTGGTCAAACTATAAAACTTAACAAAGAGAACCAAACAGCAGAGATCAAGAGACGAGTTAGACTGGCATGGGCGGCATTTGGCAAACTAAGCTACATTCTTAAAAACAAAAGATATCCACAGCATCTTAAGACCAAAGTATATAATCAATGCATACTCCCTGTTCTTACGTATGGTTCCCAAACGTGGACATTTACAAAAGCAAACATGGACAAAATCATAAAAACCCAAAGATCAATGGAAAGACAAATGTTGCACATAAGACTAAGGGATAAGAAGAGAAACGAGTGGATAAGAGAGAAAACAAAAGTGAGGTATGTTAGACAAGAAGTTGCAAAATTGAAATGGAGATTTGCCGGACACAATATAAGATAAAAAGAAGACCGATTGATCAAAATTCTTATAAGTTGGAGACCGTGGGAATATAAACGAAGCAGAGGAAAGCCCCAAATGAGATGGGCAGATGATATCAAGAAGCACGTGGGCTCTAGATGGATGACCGTGGCGACAGAAAGAGAAGAATGGAAAAGGATTGGGGAGGCCTATGTCCAAAGATGGACCGAGGAAGGCTAATTATATAGATAGATTAGAGCTTATTAAATGGGCATTAAATATCTCTAACGTTCTGTGTTCTTTTCGACAAATGCATAGAAATCTACGTCACGGTCTTTACTCAATTAATTCGTTGCCCCAAATAAGGTGTCATTTTACTTCTATTAAGACTTGTGGCTAATTTTGAAATTTTGATTCACAAGGCCGTAATTGCCGTTTGGCCATCTGCAAAGCGAATTAGGTGTTTATTTCACTTGACTCAATGCTGATTTCGCAAAATCCAAAAACTTGGTTTGGGAACCACTCACAAGAGGGAAGATTTCAACGGCAAGTAACTGCACCACTTATTTGGCTTGCCATTTTTGAAACCAGTGCGAGCATCTGCTAAACATTTGATTTTTATTCTTTATTCCATACTTTTCGGGTTTTCTAGGTATATACATTTTAAACCTGCATTACCCTCGAAAACCGACTAGCATTTCATTGACTGTAGTATTAGCACCTAGTAGATAATAATTTTGAGAATTTCAGTTCAATAGCTTTAAAATGTGGGAAATTGCGGCTGTTGAATCAGTTTTAGCTCGATTCGCTCTTTCTTCTCGTGTATCAAATAGTAGCCATATTAGCGGTACAGCAAATCTACGTGCTGAGAATGCCATTCTAAATATTTCTCTCCTCGTACCAACACTAGTAAACAGTACAATGATGTCTTAATGGTTAGACTTAAAGACTGATGTCAATAACAAAAGGCCCAAAAATCCATTGATCTCTGTAATATTGGTGTCTCTAAATTCTGTGCGGTTGCGATTTTGGTCCTTATCGTGACATTCCCTCAGTTTGACCTTTGTGTAATATACAACCATGTGTACATGTAATAGAAAAAAATTTAAGCCACGCCACCACTGGTTCCATCTGTGTCAAAGATCCATTAATAGTAGGTAATTAGTCTAGGCGGGATCTGCTTTGGATTGGACATTTTCCATAGGAAGCTATTTTTTGCTGGAATCCCTTCAGGATGTGCCCAATATCGATAATCACGATATGCGCCAGTCGCAAACCCTGTGCTAAATTTTTTATTTAACAAAATCTGAAAACAATTGGAAATTTTTAATTTTTTTACTCCTATTTTCGTTTATAATTCGGAAAATGTTGATCCCAGAGAAAAAATTAGCAAAGTTAAAAGTTTCGTTATTCAATTTTACACAATATTTCGTAAGCTAGAAATTGAAAATTGAATGTTTATTGTTGAAAAAATAGCAATAATTGGAAAAAAAAAGTACAAAAAAATGAAGTTAATCCTTTAAATATTTTCGACTTTCTAAACTTGACTTACAAGCTCTATATTCCGCCTAGAAAAACGTTTTAATATGTTTACAACGTTTGCTAATTTTTGTTAAGATCGGTCGGATAGGTTTTGCATAATAATTTTGCAATCCAGCCTACTGGAAAAAAAGCCCAAATTTTCAAATTTATAGTAGGCCCTAAATAAGGCCCTCAGATAGTTGCAATATTTTTTTACATATGAAGGAAAGCTCAAATTTTCAAACGCTTTTTGTAAAATTCAAATCGGTTTACTAGGAGAGCCTAGAAATTTTTTTAAAGTTTTAAACATTTTTTAGGCTTATAAACAAATTGAATAACTAAAGATACATTCGGCATTACTGGTTGCCGAGATATTGAAGGTTAAATTTGGCATACATTTGCCGTATAACCATAAGTGATAGAGGAAACGTATAATATACACGTCATTTTCGAATCAAAATATATTCTCAAATCAAATAATGTCATTATTATAATAAAACTGCAGAAATAAATTATTTTTAATGTTAATTATTTTAAAAAGTTTGATTTTAACAAAAAAAAATTCGTTCGCCTTTGTTTTAACAATTCAAATTATTTATTAACAATTTATAAATACATAATTATTTACTAAAAGTAAAAATTTACTTCAATGTATAAGTTGCAAGCTCAAAAAAAATGCATGAAGAAAAAATACAATTACTTGTTTAACATACACTTGTTTATTGCAAATTTCCCAATTTGCAATTAAAAATGGTATTTAAAAATATGATATTTGAAATTCTTGTCGTCCGAGACATCGATTTAAAAAAAAGAGCAAAATTGGTTAACAAGAAGCCAAGACAATGCAATTTTTAGCGCGCGCTATAATTTTGAACTCGCCGATTCAGATTTCGAGTGAATGTCCCCCACCACCACCTCTCATGCATTCCGAGCGACATTTTACGCGAAAACGGTTTTTTATTTGTCTTTTTTATGGATGTTGCCATGAAGCGCATTACGTAAAACTTTTCATATAAAAAGTACTTGACGAGGGTATTTGTTTAAAAACGAGCCCTCTATCACTTATGGTTACACGGCAAATGTATGCCAACTTTGACCTTCAATATCTCGGCAACCAGTAAGCCGAATGTATCTATTTTTTAAAAAGCGTATTTTAATGTTTTTTATGTGTATAAATTTTGAAATTGATATGTTTAAAGCTGGTAAAGTTATTCAATTTGTTTATAAGCCTAAAAAATGTTAAAAACTAAAACAATTTCTAGGCTCTCCTAGTGAACAGATTTGAATTTTACAAAAAGCGTTTGAAAGCTTGAGCTTTCCTTTATATTTAAAAAAATTGCAACTATCTGAGGGCCTTTAGGGCCTACTATAACTTTAAAAATTTGCGATTTTTTCCAGTAGGCTGGATTGCAAAATTATTATGCCAAACCTTTCCGACCGATCTTAACAAAATTTAGCACACGTTTTAATCTTAAAAAGATTTTCTATGCAGAATATGGAGCTTGTAATTCAAGTTTAGAAACTTAAAAACATTTAAAGGATTAACTTAATTTTTTTGTACATTTTTTTTCCAATTATTGCTATTTTTTCAACAATAAATATTAAATTTTCAATTTCTAGCTAACGAAATATTGTCTAAAATTGAATAACGAAATTTTCAACTTCTTATAATTTTTTCTCTAGGATCAATATTTTCCGAATTATAAACGAAAATAGGAGCAAAAAATGAGAAATTTTTAATTGTTTTCAGATTTTGTTAAATAAAAAATTTATCACAGCGTTTGCAACTGGCGCATATCGTAATTATCGATATTGGGCACATCTTGATGGGATTCCAGCAAAAAAATAGCTTCCTATGGAAAATGTCCATTATGGTCTGAATTTCTACAGATCCGCCTAGTCTAAATCTCAATAAATTAGAAGCGGGTGTTCTAATATTGCGAGTAGATTCAACTGATGCCCATTAGTACCTATTTTTTCCATAAAAGTATCGTCTGTTTGGATCTACTTAATTCAGTGAATCTTCATTAGACTTCTGACTTTCGTCCGATTGACCATCGTTAGTATCGCTAGCATAAAACTCGCTCTCAGAACTATGGTGACTCAAAATTGGTTCTTTGAGTTTACTGTTTGGAGTGTCGTCACCATCTTGGTTGGAAAAGTCACTATCGGTCTCTTCGTGTCATAGCCCAACAATTTATTCAAAATTAGCATTGTCTGGATGCACTTTTTTACTTTTAGAAATCGCAAATTGAAATAAAAACTATCACAAACTACGTCGTAGAGTCCCTCGGACTCTAATGTGTTCTATTCGATAACTTTTACGCAACTGATCGCGATTTTACATAAGCATAACGAAGATCTCCCCACTACCTGAAGGTACTGTACGACACCACTCGTTTGTATTAAGAGTGGAGAAAATATGAAGCTTTATTTGAACTGCGGAGTCCGATGGACTCAATGACGTCAGTTGTTGTGTTAAGAATATGACAAATTTTGCTCAGTGCCTTGTTATTTTTGATACCATCAAATATATTAATTATAAATATAACATTTATCTCTTCCATTTCAAGGCATTGGTCAAACTAAATAGGAGAAAAACACATCAATAATGTTATAGTAGACTGTATTAAGGCAAAGGGAAAGAATCGAGGCTTTCGAACTCTGGTTATACCGCAGAATATTAAAAATATCATGGACTGATAGAATTACAAATAAAGAAGTACTGTAGAGGGTTGTACATAACTAATTACCAGTATACAAACCAGAAAACTAGAATACCTAGGCCACGTGATGAGGGGACCAAAATATGAAATTTTGAGACTCATAACAGAGAAAAATTAAAGGAATATCTGTTGGCCGAAGGTAGAACTCATGGTTACTGAATCTACGTGATTGGTATCAATGCAACTTGATTCATTTGTTTAGATCAGCAAGTTCTAAAATAAAAATAGCCATTATGATTGCCAAAGTCCGTAGGGAGACGGCACTCTAAGAAGAAGAAGACTGTATTGAGATAACCTATTCACATCTCACTTAATGTAGAAATAAAAAATACTACCCCGAACATTTCTAGTACTTTATTTTAAATAATTTCTCAAACAATCCTCAAACATGTTATGAACCATTTAATAATATGTGTATAATGGTCTTAATACAGTTAAAGAATCTGCAGAATTGCATACTTGATGAACTAGATCTGCTTCAGATTTTGAAACTCTAGCCTCACAAAGGACATGAAGGAGTTCATGTTGATTGAGGTCGTTCCATACAAGCTTTCTTCCGTATGTCTTTCCGTATTTAAGCTGGAGAACATGTTCGGTGCCATTACAGTTATCAGGCTGAGTTCCTTCCCAGTTAGTATAAGTAACGGGACGTCCTGTTGACAACCATGCCCATTTGTTGTGAGCCAATGTAGTTCCTGATGTCCAAAACCAGTAGTCATATTTATTATTCACTGGAAATTAAAAAATTAATATAACTAATAATTCATTATCTCAACACATTTTTTAATAATTTAAAATAGTGAAAGAATTTAGCCAAGACGAATTTAAAAAAGATAAAAACATCTAGATATTTTAAAAATATCTCAAGCTTGTGGGGTCACCGTCCTTGTCCCCCAGTAGCCATATTAGAAAAAGGAGTAAAAAGGGTTATCACAAATAAAAGAGGTAAGCATGTTATGGAATATGATTGATACATATTTAGAGAGGACTATTATGAGAAGACTTATTAATGTTAATGAATAAACAATGAAGGAAGATAATTAATCTGGATATTTACCTGGCTAAAAACATTAAAAGAATGGTATGTGTCAGGTTAGTTGTCAGAAATAGGATACAACAGGTTATAATTCTAGTTACGCAAAGGACTTAGGTAATAGGTAAATTGGATGTCTCCTGCCAGAGTCAACTATGTACATTTTCTTCGTTTTTATTTTTTCATTACTATTATGAGGCATGAGATACCATTAAAACTTTTCTTCGAGACATATGCCAAAATGAACTATGTGAATAAAATAAAACAGCAGCTGGAAACTAATAAATTCTATTTAGCACAGGGGTAGTGTTGGTTGTCATATTCTACAGTGAACCACCATCCAGTCCAAGATGGCTTCTCCTGCACATAGTTCATTCACATTATCATAACATTGTTGATAGAAATTCTATTGAAGATGAACTGGCTAATTTTAGTACTAGGTCTTCAGATGATTACCATCCAAGTTATGTTTCGGATATTACAGAATCAGGTAACATAATAATATTTATTAACATAAAACGTCATTATAAAAGTATGGTTTTGTTTCGGAATGTTTCTTTTCACTAAGTGAACCATGTGAAAAGTTCACTTTGGCAAAAGATACTGCAAATGACTCTTTTATGCATAGTGAATGTGTGTTTGAAAGTATTTGTATGTAACAATCGTAAAATAGTTTCGAAACACAATTTTCTCATTCTTATTTTGTATGTATTATAATTAAGACTGGATTATATGCTCTAAAAATGGTTAAAATATGCATGCAACATGCACTTAAAAAGTAACCAAATATGCCTTTATTAAATATGCAATATGCATTTATACATGCACTTTTTAAAAAAATATTTTTAAATTTTTAGGGCTTGAGATTTGGTGAGAAATAAAATTATAGTATAACTGAGAGAGTGCTTATTACTACATTTATTTATTACTACATTTAATAAAAAAAATATAAATAAAAATTCACAAGATGTCCTCATTCTTGCTGTTACAGTATATAATCCTAAAATGATCAATATTTTCATCATCATTTCAAATGTTCATTATCATCATCATCAATCAGCCCTGAGTTGTCCATTGTTAAACATAGGCCTCCTCTAGATTTTTCCATCTGCTTCTGTTCTGCGCCTCTGCTATCCAATTGGTCACGATTCTTTTGAGGTCATCAGTCCATCGCGTTAAGGGTCTTCCTCGGCTTGGCTTGTCAGCCCGTGGTCTCCATTTAAGCAATTTTTTTGTCCAACTGTCGTCTTTCATTCTTGCAACATGTCCAGCCCATCACCATTTTTGCCTTGTAATATGTTCGATAATGTCTTCCACTCCGGTTCGTCTACGAACTTCCTCGTTTCTTATTCTATCTCTTAAGCTTATTCCAAGCATTGATCTCTCCATCTTTCGTTGTGTCCTTTTCAATCTTTCGGCTGATGTTTTTGTGAGAGTTAAGGTTCCTGCTCCGTATGTGAGGACTGGCAGAACGCACTGATTAAAAGCTTTTCTTTTTAAATGGATCGTTTGTTTTAAATACGTTTCTAATATTTTCGAATGCAGCCCAACCCAAACTTATTCTTCTGAGAAGCTCGCATGTTTGGTTATCTCGCGTTAACCTTATTTCGTGACCCAAATACACATATTTTTCCACAAGTTCTATGGGCGACTTTTCGATTTCTATTAGCTCATTGGGGACGAGGTTGGTCATCACTTTTATTTTTCCACAGTTTATCTTTAAACCGACTCTGGCTCCGTATCATAACTCTGGCTTCTCCTAAGTTGTCTGTTATGAGAACAATATCATCGGCATATCTGAGATGATTGAATATCTTCCTATCGATGCTAATACCCTTTGATTCCCACTCAAGCCGTTTAAATGCGTACTTCATAACTGTTATAAACACAGTTTTGGTGACAAGGTATCTCCCTGCCGCACCCCTCTGCCAATTTTTATCTTCTCAGTCATGCAATGGAGGTTAACGGTTGTTGTCGCATTTTCGTATATATTTCGAATAATATTTGCATACCTGTGATCTATTCTGCATTCTGATAGTGCTTTTGGGATAGCAACTGTGTCAAATGCTTTGCGAAAGTCTACAAAGATAAGAGCAAGGGGTCTGTTATATTCGATAGACTTTTCAACTAGAGTTTTCAGGCATTGCAAATGGTCGTTTGTTCCGTGTCCCGCTCGAAATCCTGCCTGTTCTTCTGATTGATAGAAATCGACATTTGCTTCTAATCTGTTTGTCAGTATTCGAGTAAAGAGCTTGTATAGGTGGTTAAGCAAACTGATTGGCCTATGGTTTTCGAGATCTAATTTATCCATTTTTTTGTGAAGGAGGATCGTAACCGAATTCTTCCATTTACTTGGAATGTTTTCACTATGCAGACATAGATTAAAAAGTATTTGGATTCGGGACATCAATAGTGGACCTCCTAGTTTAATTGTCTCAATGACTACACCATCTTCCCCCGGAGCTTTATTATTTTTCATATATTTGAGGGCATGATGAATTTCCTCTCGTAATATATCTGGTATATCCTCCGATCCTACATTATGTACCTTTTGTATTGGTTGTTCGATGAGCTCTGGAATAACTTGACTTTTATATAATGTTTCATAGAAACTTTCCATTATATGTATTATGCTTGGTCTATCTGAGATAATATTTCCTTACAGGATGTAATTGGGACAAATCTAAAATTTGACACTTGCGAGGGATCCATATTAATAACGTCGTTAAAGCTTCCATAGATTATGTTATTTATTGATCGCAACAAAGAAAAGCCTTCGTTCCGGTTTAAAACTTCACTAAATTTATCTTTAATTTTTTTCCAATTGTTCCTGAAAAGTTTACTATTCTTTCTTTGACATAATCAACAATGCAAATGCTATCATTTAAAGGTAATTTTTGACTCTCTAGTTTTGTAATAGTTTATTCTAAATAGAATTTTCACTAAAAATATTTTGACATTTCTGAACAGCAATACAACAAGCAGGATCAAAATTTGATATAACATTTTTGATATCAACACTGGTTCCGGTGTCAAATGGATATCGGGAAGCATCTCCCAATATACTTCTACTCGTAATGGTGCTATTAAAAATACTTTCTTTAAAATGTTTATTAAAGTATTTACATTTGAAAACTTGAGTCTAACTTTCTCTGTCACACTGTTCAAACCATGCGCTAAGCATGTACAATGAATCACATTCGGGAAAAAAATCTTAAGACTAGTAACAGCTTTAACCATGTAGGAAGCGGCATCGCCGACTAGTAGCAAATTTTTTTCAGAAGGTACTTGATTCGGTAAAAATAAATTTGTCAAAGATTAATTAACACATCGAGCAATTGTTGCATAGTTGGTTTTTCTAAACATTTTACTCTGATTAAATACGACTTGTTGGAGTCATCAGCTGAACTGTTGAAACTCCAATATTTCAATTCGCGATTTGCCGACCCTTGGCGTCAGTAGTTTCGTCGACAGATATCCAGAGATATTCATCTCTTACCCGGCTTTTAATACCTTCAATAACGTTTTTGTAAGATGCCCTCATCTATTTCTTGCGAAGAGTTGAAGAACTTGGTACCTGTACTGACTTAATTTCAACTTTATAATATGTTTTCAAAAAATTTTGACACACCTTGCTATCCAATTTATACAGTGGGATATTGCAACTTGTAAAAAAATTGCATATATCTTTTGCAAACATTTCTTACCCCGTCGATGTGTGACGATTTTAAATAATGTTGTTCTGCAGAAGCTGCTGGCGTGGTTTCTTGAAATCCTTAGATAGTTTATAGTGGTGGAGAGCCGTTTTCATGTGTTGAGGAATTTGGAATTATTTTTCACATGGAATCTGTAATAAAACGGTTTAGTAAATAGGAGTCTAATGCAATAATATGGACTTCAAATTTTTAAGATAACTTATATTTTTTTTCTCGAAACTAAAACTACTGCCAATAGTCAAACTGTTACATGTTTAGTATAGGTATACCGATTTTGTTGTAAAAATGAGATTTTAAATCAAATTTTTGAATCGTTAACATATAAGTGGACTCACCTTTTATCACAAATAGTACAGAAAACACTTGCTTTGTCTATAATCTTTATTTCACTGTTGCCACCAACCTAACTCCGCAATAGATTTGATTTTTGTTTCGCTACTTTCGGCATATTTTCAAAAAAAGAAATAATTTTTATTTTATAAGTACCATATTCACAATCTCAAGTTGCTTTGCCAGCTGGTAAAGAGAATTTAAAAACGAATTTACTGTATAATACCTACCTGCATGTTGGCCCTATTCTTCTGATAAATAATTCCCAGATGGGTTTTCGCAAACAATCAAACTTATAGATTTCGTAGATATTTGTATTTGTAATAAAATTATTTCGTAGTTACCTTACCTTATACCTGCTAGAAATAATTTCTAGAAACTATTATATAAATATGTATAGAAAACCATTTTATTTATGTGATATTTTCAAATACATGGCAATATGCTCTTAATCAAGTAAACATGAATATCATATGCATTTATAAAGAAACCCATAAATTTGCTGCATATATATATATATATATATATATATATATATATATATATATATATGCACATGCATTTTGCATATAATCCAGTTTCTAATTATAACATAAAAAAGTAATTTTACTTATTAATTTAATTATATTAATTTTATTTAAAAATTTCTTTTTAAAAATATCTGACTGTGAGATTTTTAATACGAATTATGAACATTTAGTATTTTTAAACAATATCACTTACAATTTTTGTCCAGAAAAGCGTGGATGAAATCGTGTTCTTCCTTCGATTCAATTGCAACTAAATCCATATTAAGCAATTTGCAATGTTGCATTGCTTCCAACCAAGTTAGCTGAAAATAACAAAAAATTGTGCTATATCAAGTAAAACTTGTAATATATATATACCTATATATAAAAGTGATATTAATGCATTTTAATAAACAAAAAGAAAAAAAGTATCGGGAAGTCACTTTTTTCTCAATATTATATCCATTACTGAACGCTGGCTACCACATTTAACATATAATCAAATGCCAAGCTATTTAAAATGATTTACACGTTCTATCTTCTCTCCATAAAGAGAAAGCACACCTTGATCTATATTAATCTTTTTGCCTGCCATCCATTAAGTCTTTGAAATGTTATTTTTAAGACCTCTTTCGACAACTTGCTTCACTGACTAAATTCATTAATCTTTTAGAATTGGTAACTTAGCAGAAAATTAGAAAAAATGAATCGGTAACCTGCCAGAAAGTCACAATTGTTATTGGAGAACAAAATACGGCTTTACAAAGTCATACTAAAACCAATATAGACTTACGGTGTAGAACTCTGGAGCTGTAACAAGCCTTACACAACATACACAACAATTCCGCAGATCTTCCAATCAATGATACTGCGTATAATAGCGAATGCACATTTACGTACAGCTTTCATCATCATTATCATCCAGCCCCATTTTCACATGCATTGTTGGATATAGGCCTCCTCCAAACGTCTCCAGTTCTCTCTATCTCTAGCTGCTGCAATCCAGTTTGTTTCTATTCTCCTTAGATCGTCGGTCCATCGGGTGGGTGGTCTGTCTCGACTTCGCTTGTCGGCTCTTGGTCTCCACTCCAATAATCTCTTCATCCATCTTCCGTCTTTCATTCTAACAACATGTCCAGCCCACCTCCACTTTTGTTTATTGATTCGCAGTATAATATCGTCTACGCCAGTTCGTCGGCGTATGTCCTCATTTCTCACGCGATCTTTCAAGGTCAGGCCCAGCATTGATCTCTCCATTCGCCTTTGTGTTACCCTCAGTTTTTCGGCAGTAGCTTTTGTTAAAGTTAGGGTCTCTGCTACGTAGGTCAAGACTGGTAAGATGCATTGGTTAAATGTCTTCCTTTTCAGGTGAATTGGGATATTTATTTAAAAAATGTCTCTCATCCTTCCATATGCCGCCCATCCCAACGTGATTCGTCCATATAGCTCGCAGGTTTGGTTGTCTCTGGTTATTCTAATTTTATGACCCAAGTATGTGTATTTATCGATTAATTCTACCTTGTTGTTATTGATCTGTATCTCTTCGATGGGAACCATATTGGTCATTATTTTGGTTTTCTCGAAGTTTATCTCCAGCCCAGTTTCTTGTAGTATGTTATTCAGTTCTTGGAGCATGTCTTTGATCTCTTCCAGATTGTCTGACAGAAGCACGATATCGTACGCAAAACGTAAATAGTTTAATCTTTTTCCATCGATGGATATTCCTTTCTGTTGCCATGTTAGTCTTTTAAATGCATACTCAAGAACGGTAATGAACAGCTTTGGTAACATGGTATCACCTTGCCTGACTCCCCTTTTTATGTACGTACAGCTTTACATCCACTAAATTATAAGGGCATTATATCAGCCACCAATGGAGAAAAGAAGACTAACTCGAGTTTACTGATAATTATAATTTTAAATTACCTAACACCATCTAATGAAAGTGGTAAGTACTAATAAATTGTAGGAATCTAGCACAAAGGTTGAAAGAACACTTAGTGCCTTTGTGTTTCTTGTACAATAATTACAAATGAGTAAAGTGAACACATGCTTCTTTTGCGTTTTGAAGTTATTTGACAGTGATAGTTGCAAAGTTGTCATTTGATTTATGAAAAGTGTTGTAAAATAATTGTAATTATAATTATGGCGTCCAGATCGGAGAAGATACTACAGATGGCGTTATATGATGTAGGAAAAGGGTTTAAAGGTATAGTAAGGTGTCGAGTGTAAAACCATCTTGTTTTACTTAAAAATAATTTTATATTTCAGTTGCCACAATAACTCCGGCATTGGAAAAACTACTAAAGGAGTACCAGGTAATGTAAAAATTGATATAACAGAAACTTTCATTCTAAATCAAGTACAGGAAACGGATGATAAAAACATTTATTACCAGATTCAAGAACTTGACTAATATAATGGTAGTGATCTTGATGAATATAATCCCTATGCTTCATCGGGAAGTTCTTATGATCCGTCAGAAGAAAGGAGTGATTCTGGAAATGTTGATAAAAAAAAACCAAAAGATGAGGAACTAAATAAAATACCGACATACTTTCCATATGTATGAAAATAAAGCTTTACCTATGTATTTTCATGTATTCGAAGAGCTTTTCTCAAAGACCACATTATTAGTTTTACTATACAGACGAATCTTAAGTACAACACAAAGTAGGATGTGGGATTAATATTCAAAAGGGAATAAAAAATTATTGAAATTGCCAGCTGAATTATCGATATATACTGCTGAAATGATAGCGCTGCTTCTTGCATTAATTCATATACATAATAACGAACCCTACAGCTGCATAATATTTACAGACAGTAAGAGTGTAGTCGACTTACTAACAAACGTACATAGGTCCCAACAACTAAATCATATAGAACAAGAAATTATGACTATTTACAATAAAATTACAAATTTAGAATAAAACATTATTATATCATGGATAAAGGGACACGCGGACATTAAGCGCAATGAAAAGCACATAGCCTAGCCAAATCTTACTCCCCTTCTCAGACATTGATATAATTAGTAAACAGCATCAGAAAAAAATGGCAAACATATTATCGAAACACGAGAACTGGAAGTAATCACAAACAAATGCAGCCTGAAATATCCATAAAAAGATGGTTTCATAACATTAACATTAACATTAACAGATTTAGATCTAATTATGCTCTTATCCCCTTCATATGTACAAGTTGGGTATCATGGAGTCACCTAATTAAAAGTGTGGAAAAGAAGGTAACCTATTACGTAGTTTCCTTGAATGTTCCCATGAATCAGTAAACATAAACAAATTGTATGATTTTTTTTTGTGTGTTTTGGCTTGGACAATTGTCATTCACCCAGTCTCAATCAAGATAAGTTTATTATTGTAGTGTGTGTGTGTTTGTGTGTGTAGAGTAATTGTCTTGATACTTAGCAAAGTCAACGTCATTGTCTTTGCTAAGAGATGCTAATTGTATCCGAACGTCTGCGGTCCCTCCGGTGAGTATCGATCACACAAAGATAGAAATTATTTTCGTTTATTATTTTTTTTTGTAATGAACGAAAATTTCCCCCAGGTGAGATTAGAACTCACGACCTTTAGGTTTAAAGGTAGGCGCTCTTACCACTGAGCCACGGAGGGGGTTTAAATTTTATGATAATCTTATTATATTAAAAATTCCACTTTCCGTCTACCTGAACAGTTTGATTTTCTCTAGACATATCAATATATTAAAAACGATTTACGAACGTATCAAAAACTGTAAATATAAATTGTAGCTAAAAAATATATCAATAAATAACAAACTATATATATATATATATATATAATATATATATATATATATATATATATATATATATATATTATATATATATATAAAGAATTAAAAAATAAAAAAGAAAGGTGTAAACCTCCGAGATGTTAAATCGGGTTATGTCTTAGCGCAGGAAAAAAAATTGTAATTTATCTAAGATTTTACGTTAAATTAAATTATACGGATCATTGTATGTTTATTTAAAAAAATAAAAAAAAATTCCTTTGATTGTAAAAATTGTTTGTCTTTAAATTTGTCTAGCTAATTGGCTCGGCCAAGCCCATCAAACTAAAATTAAAAAAAGGAATATTTAAATATTAGATTGGTGGATTGGAAACTTATTTCAACAACTTAGTTCACCAGAAAATGGTTACCTTTTGTTTATGTCCAAAGTAATATAAAGTGTATAGTTCTGTAGGAGCAGGTAGTGATGGATGTCCCACTCGAGCTTTTGATGGACGTCTGAGACTTCCTAAAATTTTAAATATTCTAATTAATCTATTATTGATGAAGCAATGAAAAAAAAGTTATAACGAATTTTTTCTTTAAAATGGTCTTTTTTTACCTAGCTTTACGTGTCTCGACAGCGTAGGTCACTGACACAGGTACAATTTTATTACATTACATTACAAGAATATACAGTTATATTACAATCGATAGAGAAATACATTACATATTGATACAATTATTAATTATCAAACTCTAAACTACGTTTCTTCTTCAAACTTTCCTGTTAAAGCCTGGTTTCATAGAGGAAATTAATAAGATCGTAAAATAGTTCTAAAACACAATTCAGATTTGAAACTATTTTACGATTTTCTAATTGGATGTCGCTATTGCGTCCGTATTGAAGCCATGTTATTGTTTCTTCTTAAAGGCAGAAAATATTGATTTTTCACGTTGAGAAATTAATAAGGTTTTGGAATTGATTTGGCGAGCTGTAAATATTTTGTACGTTTCGACTCAAAAGATTTTTTTTGTTTTTTGTTGGAGTGGGGACAGTCTACGAGAATATGTTAAACAGGTTGAATATTACTATTGTATGTACTGTAGGTAAATCTTGAGAAATTAGTAAATGTTTATGAGTTAGTCTTGTATGGCCGATTTTAAGTCAGCGAATTAAGATTTTGTTTTTTCGTGTCATGGAACGAAACTCAAGCTTTTTAACGCTGATGTGGATATCGTGAAGCTTGAAATGGATTTTATTCCAGTGATCTTGCCAAGACATTTAAATGATATTTTTAAAATGCGACTGTGAATCTGTATGTAGATGTATGTTTTCAGTCCTCATATTAGAAGACGAGGCTTATTTTGTGAAAAGGTCGGCTAGTTCGTTATTCTAGGGATAGGCTAGCCATTCTTACATAAGACTTCTTACATAAGAATCCAGATCATCATCATCATCATCATCATCATTTGGCTCTACAACTCTAGGTGATTCTTGGCCGCGTTTACTATTTCCCTCTATTGTTGTCGGTCCTGAGCAGCTATTTCCCACTGCTGCACTTCCATTTTACGTAGACCACTGACCACTGCGTCATTCCATCTCTTTCTTGGGCGGCCAACTGACCTTCTGCCATCGAACCTTTCCCAGAATCCAGATCATGGTTAGGTTAGGTGATCCAGTGAGATTAAACTATCGAAAGAGTTTTAAATAGCTTGAACCAAAGGATGTACCGTGTACACACTTTTGAGACAATAGATAGACTCTAAAGGGTTTTTACATGTTGCCACTTTTTTATATTCTGGTGATAGTAAGTTTGTAGATCGGACACTAGAGAGTAGTTCAGAAGTATGTGTGCAGTAGAAGAGTGAGAGATTACAAGATATGATTAAATCTGTGTTTGAAGTTACAGCCCGTCCAACAGCTATAGTACTCTTAGAAGTATCTATGTATAAAATTTGGTCAAATCTATTGTTAGCAATTAATTCTTAAAGGTTTGCCTTAGAAATTGTGGATTTGTTTGATGCTTATCAATTACTTAATTAGATTAAAATCGGCTATTAATTTACTAAAGAAGGTTTAAGTGATATTAATATTGGAGTTTTGGCTAAAAGATCGATATTATTTAGATGTGGTGAGAGATACTGTGGTATAGATTAAAGTTTAATAGGAGAAGGAGAGTTTAAAAGGTCATTACTTAATAATTTATAAGCTGGGTTTTTAGTATTAGCTGAGATTCGAGACGAATATTTTAAAAAGATTTGTCGGCTACAGAGCCAGAGGGGAAATTCATTAGCTTCTCTGTATAAACTCTCTGCGGGCTCGACCTAAAGGCTCCAAGAAAGATTATAACTGCAGTGTTGTGTACTTTTACTGTTTGTAACTTTTAAATTTAAATGTGCACCTCTTAAACATAAATTTAAACATACAAGGTGATCCACGCAAGTCTGTCATAGTCCATAATCTGTATTTTAAATGAAACACCCTGTATATTTTTATCTTTTTAAAAGTTCCTTAACAACCCAATCTCAACGAACTATATCATGTAGGGTCTATTATAGGATATATTAAATAGATAGTTTTACGGAAGGCATGGTCTGTATATATTATAGAATAGAAAAAAAAGAAATATTAGCCGGTTTAAACGGTATGGAATTGAAATAGATAATTGTTGCTTTCATCGTTGGAAAAGAATAAAATTTGAAATAATTATAAAATCTAATACTTGTAAGGTATTTAGGTATTAATGAAATAAAGTAAAATGGGACATATATAAGATGTGTAAAATATCTATCGAGAAAGGATTAAAATTGATTTGAATTTCACTAACAATGGCGGAGGATCTGACATGTTTTTTCATATAAGTAATTTATTTACAAGTTCATCTTACCGGCTGAGGTGGTCCAAAACTTAAAGTCTCCTCGTACAAAACACCCAAAATAACTTAAATTGTTGCCTTTAAATCAACAGTTCTTCATAAAAAAAATAAAATTAAACTAAATTCCTTAAAAATGGCACCTCCAGCCGCCACTATGATCGATCGAACGATCTTACTTCGATCAAATCCAGTCAACAAGTGCTGTGTTAAGGTTCTACAGCCGTCAAGTGGATGTACTTTCAGAATCTTACACCAGGTGGCGCGATTTAATGCCAACCTTAGAGATAAAATTTACTGGGAGTTATTTAAATATTCAGTTCAAGAATATTTCAAATATGAATTTAATTTAAAGTTAAATTAAAAGACTCCAGTCACAAAAAATGGAAACGGTTATTTAAGTAACGGACTCGTTACAATAGGTTCCACTTTCACCTTATATTCAATAAAGTTTGATTTTCTTTTTAATGGTTTGACATGTCTAAGTTTTGATTTTAATGGTTTGACATGTCATTAAATAAGTTTGCTACTTCAACTTGACTTCTACAATAATTCTCCCCGTAACCGATCATCATTAAAATCTTAACTCGGTTTCTCTAAGTCAAATATTTGAATTTTATTTCTACGAAAAATTAGCTTTTAATTAGGAATGTATTATTTTAATGTAAAATGTCAACACGCCAACAACTGATTGATAACAATCCGCATTATTTACCGATTTAGTATAATTAGCAGACTATCTAAACAGTTTTTACAGACTTACAGTAGAAGTGTATTATCTGTATTTGGCTAATTTAAAATAATACCATAACACGTGATAAATTATTAATTTCAAAATTTTACCTTGTATTATTTATTATAGACCCTACATGATATAGTTTGTTGGAATCAGGTTATTAAGAATTTTTTAAAAACATAAAAATATACAGGGTGTTTCATTAAAAATAAGGATTATGGACTATGCCAGACTTGCGTGGATCACCTGTATATTGAAATTTATGTTTAAAAAGGGCACATTTAAATTTAAAAGAGTTTTTTATTATTTTCTATAATGACACAAATAATTTTATTCCATAAGTGGTTTCCACACTGTATAACTCAAACTGCAGTAGTATATTTTAGAACGAATAAGACATAAATCTGAAGCAAGCAGTCTTTATCTGCACACCAATGATGATAAGACAGAGTTTTTAATATGTTAAAATTTGTCATGCACTTAGTATTAAAATCTTTTTCTTTCTTAATGGCATTTCCTAGTAAGTTTACTATCGAATGTGAGTCCTAAAATCCGTATACTCTTTACTGTAGGTAGGCAAGTACCGTTTATAGTAATTTTAGGATTTATAGTACTGTCTGTCCTGCGAGAAAACTTAATGATTTTTGTCTTTTCAATAAAAAAAGTTAAATCCATTTACTGAAGTCCTTCCAAGTAATTGGTCAGAAACATTCTGAAGCATTTTGCAATTGCGCAAAGTGCAAACTTGACTGAAAGCTAATTTTTTTACATTTATAGTTTAAAACAAGAATAAAGAGTGTAGGACTCAATACCTACTCTTGGGAAACGCCATCAGTTTGTTTGAAAATCCTAGAGATTTTGCCATTTGCTCTTACGTTAAAGGTTCTAGTTGTTAGAAATTGATCAATAAATGAAGATATGTTCCTAGATATACTGTACTCCTCGAGTTAGTCTTTAATAAGAGGCCTATCTTCTTCTTCTTCTTAGAGTGCCGTCTCCCTACCAAGGTTGGCAATCATAATGGCTTATTTTATTTTTGAACTTGCTGCTCTAAACAAATCAATCGATCTGTATTGATACCAATCACGTAGATTCTTTAACCATGAGTTCTGCCTTCGTCTAACAGATCTTCCTGGAATCTTTCCCCGTATTATGAGTCTCAAAATTTCCTATTTTGGTCTCCTCATCACGTGGCCTAGTTATTATATCTAATGCTTTTTCGATCTGCAATTCAATGTGAACTAAAACCTGATTGCGCCAAATTTATTATTTTATATTTTTGATTATTTGATTATTTACTCACTTATGCCATGCTTTGTAATGTAAATCGTTAATTGTTTTATAAAAATGTAATATCATTTATTGTTCTAATAACTTTTGTTTCTTTTTCAGGTACGTTAAAAATGGATCTAATATGTAAGTTTTAATTTTTAGTTAATTTAAAAAAGCACTTTATTAAAAATGTTATGACAATCAAATAGTTACTTGTTTCAGAGGTCTACGTTGTATCAATACCACGAAATTTCTTTACCATATTTCCTTTATCTTCTGACAAAATCTACAAGAATTTAGTCATTTCTTTTCAGATATAGAAAAACTGTTAAGCTAGCGTAAAAAATGTATACAAAAATCACAAACAATCTTGTTTGAGATTATTTTTATCCATACTCTTCTTAGGGTACCTGTCCGTTCCGAACGTGGTGATCACTTTGTCTTTGATGGCTTTACTGGTTGTTATACTGAATAGTTGTATTGAGGTCTTTCGACATCATGCTCTCAGGTTAATAAGCCACGATATTCTTCTTCGTCCTGTGGCCCTTTTCCTTCAATTTTACCTTGCAAAGTGCATTGGAGTAGTTCATAACTGCCATGATTTCTCAATATATGTCTCAAGTACTGCAGCTTAAGGCCATTCAC